TCGTAATTAGCCGGGTTTGCGTGTCTCTTCTTTTTTTTCGCGTTAGAAACGTCGCGCTTCGAAGTCGCCGCGCGATGTTCGACGGTGTCTGTTTATGAACCGTTTCGCGAATCGATCAAAGTCTCTGACGACCTGATGACCGAACGATCTTATCAATGGCAAGAGCATGCCGTGTGGCTTTTCAAGTCGCGGAAATGCGCGAAAGACAAGATACGGATTGTCGTTAACTTTTGCGCTTTGAGCGGAAAATATCGGAATATCAAAGAACCCCCGCGAGACTTATTACCTAACTTCGTGAATTAATAAGATTCGGATAATAAATTACGTATCGCTCTGACGAAGCGACTCGAAAGTTCGTTAAAAGATGGATTCTTGATAAATTCAGAAAGATTCTAACTGCTTCAAGGGATAAAGTTGTGAAAGGCAAATTAAGGTCGTTTGATGATAGCAGTATGGAAATTTTATTCGCGAGAAAGATATGCCGCTTTTGTCTAATTGCACAAAATAATAAACAAATTAAAATAAGCACTTGTTTATTTGAAGTTCTTGTGCATTGAAAGCGATACGAGAATCGAGTTTCAAGTATGTCCTTCGAGCAACGGTACAGATCCTTTAAATAAGTAAAAATATTACACTTTTGCAATTCTTATTTCTTTCTGTTATCTGTGATTAAAACGACGATGTGAAACGTCACTTTGCGATTTTTCTCTTGCGTCGACGACGACTTTGCGTCGTCACAAGAGAGTCTACAAAAATAAGTCGCGGCGCGCCCCGGCAATTACGCGAGGACGACTTCGTCGAGTTTTAATTTGCCTGCCGCGCGAGCTCTCTCGAGACCCGCCGCCGCGCGCGCGTTCGGGTACGCAGTGCTTTCCACGAATTCACGCGCAAATTTATGCGCCCGAACGATGGAAACAGCGCTCAAAAGAGCCACCATGCTTGCCTTTCCTACCGTAAATCTCGTCGGCCGAGAATTGCGCGTTTCCTTGCGAAAGACAGGAAAAGGCACTTCGGGCACAAATTTCACGCTCGGTCGTTGGAATTCCTGCAATATGCACTTTTCCGGATGTTCGCGACTTTATAAGACGGACGTTTTCAGTCTAATTAAATGTTTGTGTTAAACGTATTCACTCTCAACACACAAGAGTCGATCATTTTTATTTTGCGTCTTAGTAAGTTTTTTTTGTTTGCGTTTTAGTGAGTGAATGTTTTTCCACTTTGTTGTTGGAAACGAGATTTTCCTTTGTATTATGAAAAAATTGTAAGAAATTTCAGCAGACAGAAGCACACTTAGCTTCGCGAAGAAATCTTGTTTTACACTTTTCTTGTGCTGTTTTATCGGAAGAAACGCTTGTGTACGTGCATGCAGAATTTTCACCTGCTAGTTCTCTGAACTTTTTTTTTTTTTTTTCCACCCTCCCCCGGCGTCCTCGAAAACTTCTCGACGAGAAAATGACGCGTTTTCCGCCACGGCTACAGCCGTTCGCGAAGCGGCGGGAGTTGGGATGCGAATTTTTCGCCCGAACTCAAGAGTTCGTCGACGAACGGCGTTTAACGATCCGGAAACGTTGTAAGTGTGGAGATTAAAGCGTGTATTCGTACACGTAGCTGCGAACCTGTGCAAGCAGCACTTCCCTTCGTTCTTCTCTTACCATTCACACCACCTTTCGGAATGACACGTTGGGAACGGAGCCAAGCGGACTCTAGAATGTGCTATAGGAATGCTCCCAAATAGGAATACTTCTCGCGGCTTTTAATTTAAGTTTGAATTTCAGGGAAAATAATTATCCGCGGCGGGTGAAAATAAAAATACAGAAAACTCCGTATTGTGGTATTGATTCAAATATTGCGTTGTGTGTTTGTACTTTTTAATACATTAAAAAACTTGCGCACGAAAATAAATGGAATTAGATTAGAATAAAAATTAAACGCGTATCTCTCTCGCGGAATCTCCTTCCGCATCGATGTACCGCGTCGTGCACGGAATGCGAGAAATCCGGATTCGACTTTTGACTAAAATATTTTTTTTTTTCCGCAATGAGAATTTTAAATTTTACATGAGAGTACATTGAATATTTCACATATGCGAGATGAGAAATTTATTCATTCTATGTGAATTTTCAAATTAAATTTAATTCGAATCTCTCCAAGTTTATTAATCTATAAGTCTATTTGCACATTTAAATAATTGCACGTACATCTGGTATACCAGCTCGTATCGATCTTAATACTCAGTTGTTTAATGTTGTTATGTCATGTTTGTTATGTCACGAACTAGCTGAGAATATCGGGTTTAGAAAAAAATCCGCTGTTACTAGTTCACGCTCCGAACGCGCGCCGAGCGTAATCGAAGCGGCATGATTGATTCGCTGATTCGCTGAACAAATTCATGTGTATTCACTCGTGAAATACGCTCGCGAGATTGTACAAGCGGATGTAGCTTTATCTAGGTCCCATCGTTCACGTTAATTCCACTTAAGCACCGATGCACCTGGCTCGCGCGAGCTCAACGCGCGACGACGAGAGAGCGCGATGCACTCGGCAAAAATGAAGAGACGAATGCCATGCAAATCGAGCATTCGAAGCGCGCACAAGGGCACCTTATTCAGCGGCACATAGTGGAACCGAGTGGCCAAACGCGGCGGTACGGCAGTTCGAGTGAATGAAAGATGGCAGTGTGCGTATTGTAGAATGCTCTGGAACAAACAGGGCACTAAATTCACATGATTTCTTCGCTCGCCAAACGCGGAGACTCGTGCGCGCGCTCTCATGATTCGCTTTGACGATCGTCGACGGCGCCAAGTGTTTGTGTTGGCAGACGCTGAGCGGGATAGTCAAAAGAGAATTTAATTTGTGAAAGAAATGACTGTGGAAATTCACATATCTCCGGATGGACGTAATGCACGTCTGACTCCGCGCGCGCGCGCGCGCGTGTGTGTGTGTTCTTTTTCTCTAAAAGTTATAATTATTTTAGAAATCCGACGGGTATTCTCAGAGCATCGGCAGAAGAATATTAATAAACAACCTCCGCCTCCGGGCAAAAATGTATATCAGCGCGGAGACGTGGACATAATCAAGTCTCTGTAATTACCGAGACATGATTAACCCTCTCCGCTCTCTCTCTCTGAAACTTGCCCGCGAGGTACCAGAGAGTACTCTACGTTACACTCTCTACGTAAAGGTTTCTCGTGCGAAACGCGGATCGATGACGCAATTAGTTCGCGCGAGCTGTTCATTTTCCATGTGATTTTTATCTACAATAATTAAAATTACATACGTGAATGTAATGTCGGAGAAAGAGAAAACAATTTTTGAAACGTTTTTATCAGGGAGATGACGCGCGGTCGCTGCGGGGAATGTATCTCGCGCGACGGCAATACTGTGCATGAATGCTGCTGCATTAGAGCGCGCATTTACGACGAGATTATCCTCGGGACTAATGATTAATTGTATGTTGCGCGCGCGCGCGATTGATCTAATCATCGGTTCAGAAACGAATGCCGCGTCTCACACAATCGGACGAGCGAGCGAGAGAGGCGCTTGGTTGGAGGTTGGCTGCACTCTATGACCTTAATTACTATGTCGACTAATCGATCGCGCGCGCATTGTGATCGTACTATGCTCGACACGGGTACCGGCATACGCATCCACTTCACGCTGAATGGTGTCTTAATTGCCGGTCGGATAATCCGATTCAGCCACTTAATCGATTATGCTCGTCCATGAAGCCACCGCAATCATATTCGCGAATCCTCGAATGGGGATTGGTTATCTGTCGATGTTGATCCGCGGATCTGTATTCGATCTCTATAGAGAGAGTATAGACTGTACGGACAATTACACGGACGATGACCGCAGACATTTCTTTTCAAACGACTGAATTTAATAAAATGTAGAATTTTTTTTCGAAGTTTTGTAAAATTCATGAGAAAACAAGAAATGTGCGAACACATAAATTAATGTGACTCGTTTTCTATAAGAATTTTGGTATAAAACTCGTTAAAACTAAATCAATCTCTCAAAAAGAGAGTGTCTCTTAATTAAAATCAGATCGACTTACAAAAAACAACGTGCGTAAAATATTTGTTACAGATTTCGAGAATTCTCGACCGCGCGGACGGTCAACCCGTAACAATAAATTCTTGAGATTTCGAATTCAGGGATCGCAGCGCGACATAAAAGTCTATCGCCGCTATATTTTTGTCGTGAAATAACGAGTCGCGACCGAGAGGTTCTCTAAACTTGGCTCCAAGATAAGAATCGAGAAACCGTCGACGGTAGTCGAAGAAACATCTCTCCGTCCCCCCACCCGCCGTTAATTAGCCAAAAAGTGAGGTCTTTCGTACGCGATGTTTCCCCTCTCGCTTTTCTTTCCTGCGTCGCGACGACATCGCCGTGAATAAAATACAGTTCCCCCCTTTGCCCCCTCTTCTCCATGAAACCCCTTCGTATTCCCCGACTATCCGGTGTGCACACGAGCACTCGCCCCCTCGCATACACAAGAAGAACGAGCCAAAGAGCCCTACGGCGTACGCCGTAGTTCTTTCTCCCGGGTCTCGTAGCATCCTCTCTCCCGGGGTCCGGGTCTCTCTTTTTTCCGTCTCCTTCGCTCGCGCCGAACGGCCGATCCTAATCTCGATAATGACGCGTAATGGCTGCTGGCGTGAATGTAGCTCTTTGTCCGTGGCTCCTGTACCGGTCGTATATCTGTCCGGTACGGGAACCGCGCCATTTCACCCCGGCGAAAACCACGGGGGAAGCCGAAACGGCCGTTTCCAGGCTCTTTTTTTTTCTACGTCCACGTCGTGTCCCCCTTCCGTCTCCCGATTTCGTTCCGCAACCCTCTCCCGAGATCTCTGTGCCGAGCAAGACGCCTTCCCGGGAATTACGCTTAATCACTCGGTTCTGTGTAACTCCCCCCCTCTCCCTCCCCCAGATATCGTAGGTTTGCTGTATATATATACGTGTATGTGATTGTTTTTCTTTTTTTATTTTTGCAGAAGCGGTTATGAGAGTTCGATGACCACGAGCCCGCGGACCATCGACGCTACCATGGACTACCTGCAGACGTGCCTCATCTTTTATCTGCTGATCCTCTGCTTCTGCGGCGGACGTTCCATAGACATATGTGAGTAGATGTGTCAATCCGACCGATCGTAAGATCCGACTCGACTGGATATACCTTCGGGCGCCGAACGGAATAATTTACACACGTGAACTTCTCAATTAGCATCGATGACGGCTTAAGTGTTATTGATCGGGTTATACCTATCGTTAACTGAAGTACCCGGAAGATAATTTATGTATGCGCATATATACGTATAATCCTTCGCCATAGGAAGTTACAAATAATCGGAGAATATTCTCTTTTTTTTTAAATAATCATTAAATATTAATAACAATGATATTATCACCCACAAAACTTAACACATTAAAACAGAGAGCGTATCATTACCGATGCGTGATATTTCTCACTCAAGATCAATCCCTATCTTCCCTTTCGGCAGAAACTAAGGAGATCGCGGCGGAGGATCGGTCGGTAGGAAATACGTGTTTACATCAGAGGCTATAATTTTACACCAAGATGAGCGCCTCACTCTCCCCCCGGGTTCGCGGTTTCAACCCGATAAAAACAGAAAGGCATCTTTCTGCTCTTCCTCCTCGTGCCGCCGCGCGCATTGCCCTTTGCGCGTTGCATTAAACCTCGGGGCTCGGTTTCTGCTCGGCTTGGTTTCCATCCCATTGACTCCGGCAGCCCGGCATCCACCCTCGTGTCAGGTAAACAGGGCGAGAAACTTGCAAAGTATCCGCCAAGAGTTCCGAAGTCAGCCCCGAGAAAGGCTTTTAGGTACTCGTTCGTGAAATCGAGCTCGAAACTTACGTATACGGGACGTATTTCGCACCCGAAGAATTTCTCGAGCGGGACCGAAAAAGATGGATCGTGATGGTCTCTCGGCTCGGTTACACCGCAACGCGGTATCATCCCTTTTCCTGGATGAGCGAGTAGATCCGAGTTATATGGAATCCATGTACGTACACATACGTGTGTGTGTGTGTGTGTGCGATCGTATTAAAGTTTTCAAAATAGACTTTAGACTTTGGTGCAACAAAACTATCTCGTTACGACGTTGACCGTTGTCGTAAATCGATGTGGGGAAACTGAAACTACGCTCTGTCTCCAATGAATATTAAACAAAAGTTTACGAACACAATGTGGCACGATAAGTGGTTGACAAGTTATCACCTATAGAACCGTAAAGTCTCTAAGTTGCATGATAATCAGCTTATACTTTAACGCTAAATATATATCTGCGCGGCGGCTATTGCGGGAACATACTAAATCAGGAAAGTCGACGTTTGCCTTCCTAACTCTTGCGATCTACGCGCGGGCATACTATTTAACCTCAAAGCCGATACTTGAACCACCTTTGATCCTGCTTATACTTATACTTGAGCATGCCGGGTGGTAATCCCTGAAAACAACTACACAACTACATAAAGTTTCCTAATTAAATTCCATCTGGTTATCAAAGCAGCTCAACATAATACTTTGAGATAACAAGCGGAACAACACCGATTAAAGTGGCAAGATTATGTGCAAAGGAAAGCTGCCAGCTAACTGGTGCGGCGGTAGTTCACAGGTAGCATTATTAAAATAACAATATCACTGTCAGAGTTTGTAAATTTCTATCCGAACTAAATCGTGTACGCATAACATCGACGTTTTCGTTCGAGCGTTTACTTGAATTTATATTCAAGACGTGAAGAAAGAAGACGCGGAACTGTGTTCATTTCGAGCACGCTTGATCAATGGTCAAGACTCGATAATAAAAAAACACGCACTTCGGCGATCGTCGGAAGATTCATAGACCGACGCGTGAGATACTCGGGCGTAGGTGGTCCCGATGTATACTTCTCTGCATAAGAACGAACGGCATCGAGCCGAACGACACCGAAGTATAAATAGCTTCGCGTACGAAAATGGAAAGGAGACCGAAAGTAGTGACGATCGAAGCCTCCCCGCGGTGAGTGAACTTGTATATTGAACCGCGTTGGTAAATTCGCGGTCGTGTTAAGAGAGAGAGAGAGGAAAGAGAGAGAGAGAGCGAGCGAGCGAACCAGTCAGTCGTGGCGGGGCCGTAGGGTGACCGAGGGACGTTGAAGGGATCGCTGAGCAGTTAAAGCGCGCATAAATTGCAATGTTAATGTTGCCAGCGATACATAAACATGTTGCACGTCGGTTGGATTGTGGTGTCTGCGCGTGCTGCACACCCTCCAGATGCCTGCATGAGTGCGTGCGTGCGTGCGTGCGTGCGTGCGTGAGTGCGTACGTACGCACGAGAGGGGTGCGCGTTTGGTACTTCGCCCGTACTGAGAGGCCGATCGGTAAGCGGTCTATGTATGTACGTAGACGCGTGCCTAGACGAGAGATAGAGAGAGAGAGAGAGAGCAGCCATTGCCGCGCGTTTGCGTGTGTATTAACGCTCGCGCGCGTTTGCGTTGATGTTGCGTAATTGCGTGGCAACGCGAAAGTGTAGGTACGTGCACGGATGAGCGGATGAGTGTGCTCTCTCAAAGTGGTGTAGAGATAGGGTAATTGTAGAGAGAGATGCGTCATCTATAGGAGAGAGGGATGCGCGTCGTATCTGACACAGCGAATTTTAACACGCGACACATATGTGTGCGGCGAATCATTATCGCCGTCTTCTTTCTTTTTTCCTTCGTTCTGAACGAATATTCAGCGCGAATTACGATGACGTAGCTACTACGTGGTAGTGCAGATGTGTCACCCGCATGTTCGAACAAGTGACGAATATATATTAATTAACTAATAGTTGAATTTTTTTGTGTATACATGAAAGAGAGACATGTATCCTTTGTGTGTGTATACACGAATGACATGTGTCCTAAAAAACGTGTATTTTATCAAAAGCTTTCACGTGTATGTATGTATGCGTGTGTGTCTGTGTGTGCGCGCGCGCGCGTGCGCACTGTGTGTGTTTTGTAGTATCGGGAACATGTCGAAGGCAGAAATGTGTCCGGAGAGAAGAGCCATCACGCAATAGAGTCCTTCCGCGTTATGACATTGTCGTCCCTTTCGTTACCCTCTCGGCCTTCCTTCTCAATTATCTACAGATCCATTAGGCCCTAGCGTTACGGTGACGAAATGATTGCAGGAGTCTTGAGCAGCGTATTAACATAACAATGCGGCAATTAACGCGTTATCACCTTTCGTCCTTTCGCTTCGTCGCCAACACAAAATTACACAACGATATTACAAATCACAGGTTCTTATCAGACAATGACAGCATGAAATTTCAATTATGAGTCTGTGCTTCACTTATTCACTAACAATACTGCAATACAATAATAGATGTGTAAATAATAAAAACAAAAGGGTTCGAAATACGCTACGTTTATTTAAATTGCATTCGCGAAATCAAAATCCGCGGATATTTCTCGCTCGTGGGGGGGGGGGAAACAATTATATGTATTTGAAGCGGTCATGGACACCCTGCACGCGCGTGGATTAGCGGATTATTTGTTCAGTCACCTATGTGCGCTTGCGCGCACAAATATACTCCCCATGATCCCCCATTCGCAGATACACTTATCAAAACACATCCCGGTTATCATTACAACTTGTCACTTCTTTGTACGCTCGGCGCGAACGTTAATACCGTCTGACTGTGCTCTCCGCGCGGATCGTGTTTGAAAGGCGCGATTATTCGTACGACACAAAAGCACCGCCCGACACTTTCCGCACGTGTACGTCGTATGTCTCTCGGATATAAAATCCCCGCGACGTAAACATTCCCAAGCCGGTATTCCGACATCTGTTTCTTACCCTCACGCCGACTCCGATCTCGTTCTCGTTCAGCTTGATCACGCGCCAGAACCGACAGTTTACGTTTTCGCCCGCGTACGCGAACTTCACACAGATCTCTTCACGGCTCTCTTAACGAAGCCGGGGATAAATCGCCTCGAGTGCAATCAACTTAACCCCGTCGTCTCGTAGCGGCCGTTGGAAACATCGACGAATGAGGATGAATCGGGACGAATCAAGTGAGGGATTGACACGTTGAAAGGGCGTCAGATCGTCAAAAAGAGACGTCGCGCGAAGTAATCTTCGAGGAGATTTTCCGTATTGCCTCGATCGCGGATCTCGATTTTTTTCACGCGCTATATCTCCGGGCATCGAAATTCTCGCTTTAGAAATATATATGCGCGCGCGCGCGCGCGCGAAAGCGATTATCGTTTCCAGGTTTCCGTTTGCGACGCGATAAACCCGTTTCGTATCTCATTCCGATCGAGATCCGTGCGACGTACACCGACGACAGAACATTGCGGAATGTATCGAGCAACGCGAACGAATCCCATAGAGGATCGGGAGGGACGTATCGTGCTTGACGCGCTGAAAGGACGTCAACTGTCAGACGTCTCGACGGCGACGTCGAGTGTAATAATCCTCGACTTTTCGGGTTCGAAGGGCGCCCCGTCAATCCGTTGCGCGCGCGTATCTGTATTTTCATAAGGCTAACCCACGAAAGCAAACACCCGCCGTTCTACGCGCGCACGAAGGGTGTTCGTGTCCTAAAACCCTTCGCGTTATAACTGACATCGGCTGAATGAAAAGAATCAGACGAGATATGGGCGGTGTGATCTATCAAGGAAGAATTTATTTGTCTTAATTGACACACACGCGCGTAAAAAATTTTCTCTAAATTTTATTTGACGTGAAACTTTATAAGAATTTTCAAATACTAAAATAAAACCTCTTCTCAAAGTAGATTCACACACAAACGACAGCAATTCTCTATTCTTCGAATCATTTCTTTTATTATCAACGCTTTTAGGTTTCTAAAGATAAAACACCATTAGCACGGCGCAGACACGTCAATAATCTGTGCGCCCGCTTTTCTTCTCATATCTGTTAACGTCAACCACGTCAGAGAATAAAACCGGTTAGTTTTGATAAATCCAGGCCACGAAGGCACGAATCCTGTACAAAAGGGTTGCACTCTCGACCCTCGGTGTCTAAGTAACGCACGCAACTCGAGACGGTGATTTCCAGTCCCTTGCTAGTAACGCCTAAGGGTAACTCCAAGGGTGGAACGGCCGCGGTGAAGAGAAGAAGCGCGGGAACACAGTGTGTAGGGATAGAAAGAGAGAGAGAGAGAGAGAGGGGACCTTGAAGGGAAGTAGGAAAGGGTCGTGTAAAAGTAGTACTTCCGTTCCGCCAGTCGTCGCGGCGCCAGAAGAGAACGGGCATGCGCATTTTCGTCGTGGCGAGTTACCTTCCGCCTAGAACGAATGTTTGTTTTCCCTGAAAGAGGCAAAAATGGCTCCCCAGATCCAACAATACCCGAGGAAACCGCGCCTCGGTTCTTCTTCGGTCTCTCTGCGAAAGAGTGCAGCGCCTCTCAACAGACTGGAGGTTTAAAAGCACGAACTTTCTTTCGTGGGGTCGACGCTCTTACAAACATTCATTCTAATTTTGCTGCGCTTGTCCGGAAAACGGGGCGCGGCGTCGCAGTCGGAAAGGGAGAAACCTTGCGGCAGGTGTCCACCTGCTAATTCCGTCGAGCAAACACAACTGAGTCGCAATGAGCCGCACTGAGAAGGTGATTATCACCAACACACAAACGGGAAGATAGCTTCCAAGTTACATCTTGCGTGGAATTTAATCTGGATTAAATCTCGACGTTCTCCAACAAACGTTATGGTACATGAAGACATACCTTGAGGGTATAATGTACCAAAGTACGTATGTTTTGAAATAGAGACTTAAAAATCTAAAAAGAAGATACGTATTCGTACTTTTTTTTTTACGTATACTTAATTCACACAAAATATTACGTGATTTGCACATTTTAAATATTATAATATAGTTTACTACGGTATCATAAACTTACTGTATCACTAGGGAGAGCGTGTGCGATAGCAAAAGGTCACACACACCTCATACGTTACAATTAGCCGAGACGTTTCGATATGTAAAAAAATCGAGTTAACCCGAGGATTAGGTTCGCGACTCATGATTTATGCGCTAATATCGCACTGCAATGAGACTGAGAAGTTTAATATGTTTTTCGTGAAAGTCCCGGTACGTAATTAATTTACATTTGCGCCGGAGAAGAGAGAGAGAGAAAGATAGAGATAGAGAGAGGAGTGCGAGAGAGCAAGCGAGATCGCGTGTACACCAAAAGCCGACCACGACTCCACGGGTCGGTCGTCATTAATAATAATCCAGGAATTAACAAAGGAAGGGCGATGCGAATTATTAAATTCACTGGGATAGAAAAGCTCGTTGTTGGGTATCCACCCTCGCGCCGCACTTCCTCTATTTTTCTTCCCTAATTTACCGCGAGATTCGTTAGTCTTCTGTGCAATTTGCCGCTTCGCTATTATTGCAAAAGGCGCGCTAATTACTCGCCGTGCGTTATATTTTATCACAAAGGCGATCTTTGACTTCGTCCGGCGTGTGGGAAAGTTCAGATAGAACGTGACGCCGCGCGTGTAAATCCGCGATAGATCTTTAATGTATTTTGCGCTAAATTATATAAATTATATACCGTATACTTAGACGTTTTTTTTTTTTTTTTTTGCAACGAATTACGAGAAGAATTAAGAGTTCTCTTTGTAGCTTGTTTTCGCATAGCCGCGCGCTTACGTATACATTAAATTATTAAAGAATCAGCTTCGCTTGGGATAAAGACGTGACTTACATCGTGTTAAAGGTTAATTTAGAACCGTTCTCAGTTGCCTGAAGAAGGAGTGGTTCTCTACTCGAGTGCGACGTGAAATGCTCGGCGCTAGAGGACAAACGACGTCTCGGAGAAGGAGATTCGCGCGCGCGCGCGTACTTGTAAAGAAGAGATTTACGATATTGCGCAATTCCTAGTAGATCTCCAACAAATCGTGCGCTACCTTCATCGTCGTCGCCTCAACTTGTAACTCGAACGTGAAAGTCTTGACTCAACGCCCGTGGCATTTCAATACGATATATTTCGAGATTCGCGGAAAATCGTTTTTCATCTCGACGCGCAACACGTACGGACAGATATGTAGTAGGAAGAAACGTATATATATACAAAAAAAAAAAAAAACGCGGAGATGTGCGGTACGTTTCTCAGACTATCAGGCAACAACAAGTAAAGTATAAAAAAAAAAAAAAAAAAAGAACGATGTGCTGTGGATATACAGCGAAAGAATTTCGCTCGGAATTTATTACGATTTTTCTATTACAATTTACGTCGCTCCTCGAACGTATTGCAGTCTCTGCCGCCAGGCGCGGCGGCTTGTTCGCCGGCCGTTTTGTGGTTGTCTCGAGTTTCTCTCGTGAAGGAGCCGTCTGTGGAAAGAAGCGGTTATCAGTTTGACAGTGACGCGGTTAGAGGAGGAGAGCGTGCGAACCGGGCGAGAAGACGAGAGAACGACGTTAGGATGTCGAGGGCGGGAGGAGGGAGGGGGAGGGGAAAGAAGAGAAGGTTGCGCGAAGGCATTCAATTTCCCTCTTCTCGCGGATGGAGGGCGGCACACACCCTTCCGTTTGGAGCTGTCACTCCCTGAGAGTTATGGTCGCCGAATGAGTGGCTGGGGCGGGCCGAACGTCGCATAACTTACTACTTCTTCTTCTTCTTCTTCTTCTTCTTCTTCTTTCTCCTCCTTCTCTCCTCTCCCGTTCCCGCGCTCTCTTTTCCAGGATGTCTATAAATACGAGAATCGAAACCTGCCTTTGCCTACTCCCCTCAGCTAGTCGCGGGGCGACTCGTTACTCGCGACTGGATGCTGCACGTCGCGCGCCGCGTCTAGCACGTACACCGGAAGGAACGAGGACGATCGATCTCCCGGGGGGAATTCTAGGATCGCACGTCTAGGGCAGCATCGATTACGCGACTTATTTGTCTCCGAATGCGTTTTTCTCGCTTCTTCAAAGCTTCGAGACGCTCGGTCTCTCCGAGTCTATTTTTAACCGATGACACACACAGGGTGACGATTGCCAGAAATTCCTATGTGTAATTGCTTCCTCGACTCTCGGAAACGGTAACAAGTTATCATTCCGTCAAGTAAAACCTAAACCCCATATCTCTGTTATAATTAATAAATTGATAGTAAAACAACATCCTCTGTTACTGCTATAAATAAAAACTTCCAAAAGGTTCTGATATATTTTGTTCTCAAACAAACATCTGATTGAACATCGTCGTGTTCTGTGTGTGTATAAGTTTTTTTCATCTCCTCTTTATCTCACTCGAGCGCGGGATCGTCGAAGCGAAGTTTCGGAGGAAGTAGGAAATGTTTACAACCCTCTTATTTACGCCGGGCATCTTTCTCGGGTGCCAGACATCCGCGACGATGACGAAAGAAGCGGTCGGTGGGAAAAGTTTGTGGATTTAAGATCGTTGGACGAATAAACGAGCTCGATAATCGCTGACGGTTCCGACGGACGGTTTCAGGAAACAGCTGTCGTTAGGGCCATTCGGGGGTTGAATTTTCTACTCGAATTTATCGAGTTTACCGAAGCGCCGCTCTCCGCCCCGCCGCGATTTCTTGCTAAAGAGCTATATATCATTCGCTCGTTTCCCGGGAATCTTGCCGCGATCTCATCCTCTACGCTAACAGAATCTACTCTTTGACCGGCTGCTCCTCCAAGGTACCGACGACCGTGTTCCCGTTCGCGAGTCGAGTCGCTTTGATCGTCGCGTCGGCGTGCTTGCAGCGCGCGGACGTGTAATTTCCCAGTCGTCCGGCAAGCGGCATTTATCTTTCTTCGATTCCAAATGGAAATCCGTTCTCGGTATCGCGTTAAGCGCCGTAATTATCGCGAGCGCGCCGAGCGATAAAAAACACGCGCTCAAGATCGACGCGTTTCCCGGTGCTGCCGCACGGCTTTTATTTGTCTATTTGGATCGGCGTGAGCGATTTACTCGTGTTATATAGCACTCGAAAAAAATAGCACTCGCAACGCATAATGAAAGCCTGATAAAACCCAGTCTCTCTTTCTCGAAAATAACGGAGCGGATCCGCGACATGATTTCTCGCGGAAACTTCTCTGGTGTGAAATAACTTTTTTTTTTTAACATCCGGTGAGATCTTGACTATCTGAGAAATAAAAGTTTCGAGACTCGAAACAAATATGTAATTTGCTTGCGTAAAACTCACGCTATTCTGTATTGAAAATGTTTAACGTGTTTTCTTTAACGTTTGTTTTAAATAATAATTGTGAAAAAAAAAAAAAAAAATAAGAAACGCATCAAACGTCATCAATGTGCCGCAGAAATATCGTAACCCGTAATTTTAACATATCGTTTACACAACGAGACTTACGTACGCAAAAGTTTATATTGCTCGCCTGTTCTCATTCGAGGCGAGGTTATAATTGAAGCAATTTCCTTTATTTGCAGCACAATGCATCGCACCTTTGGGAATGGAGTCGGGCGCGATTCCCGACGCGGACATCACTGCGAGCTCCAGCTTCGATAGCGGAAACGTCGGGCCGCATCGCGCACGGTGAGTGAATTACTGATTCGTTTATGCAGCGCGTCGCACACAAATCCGACGCAATACAAATCCGGAAATTTGATCATATTAGCTCTGCTACGGACCGTGAAAAACGCAACGCGGCGCCAACGCTTTCGTATCGCGCGGCGGATGCATCGACACGAGCGTAATGCGGTGCAATATTCAAATCAATATTGGCCGTTCGCCGACCGATTATTATTTGTCGATTGTCTGTCTGTTAAATAGAAAGCTTTGATCACAAAGAATTCTCGATGCTGCCTGATCGTAACCGACTCCCGATAAGACTATTTGAGACGTCGGGAGCGAGAGCTCGGCGACATATATATATTCGGAAACGCGATAGGCGCATATCTATAAGTCGAGCGATTTGACCGGTCGATCGCATGGACAACTCGTTTGTCATCCTGTCGGGAGAGATAGTTGACGACGATCGACGTTCGAATCGTGGTCGCACCGTTTATTAATCATACCGCTAAACTGCATCGTCTAATTCGGCTTTCAAGCAATGAGGATTAATGACGTTGCAGCGTCGCCGTCCCGGATGCGAAGCCATTTGTATCGAGCGCTTCAAAAGCTCTTAGACGTCGTTAACGTGCCCGTCGCATACTCCTTTGATTATGCGTGTCAGCTAATTACCATTCCGGCGAGACAAACGCGCGACGCGCGTGGAGGTGGTATGACGGACAGGGGATGGAAGGCGGAGAGGGGGGAGGAGGAGAGAAACAGCGTGACGCGAGGGACGGGATGTGTCCAAACACAAGGAATCATCGGGACCACCTACCGCGCTAATAAACTCGCGCACTCGCAAGACATTAGCTCCACCGCTGGTGCCCTTTCGCTCGTTAATTGAAATTCTGCCGCATTAACCGAGTCGTGCGTGAATTTTCAATATTCCGCGGAATGTAATCAACTCGTCACTGTTAATCAATCATCGAAGCGTGAATATACAACGGAATTAATGCGTAAAATTAATCGCGGTGTGCATTAAAGCGTGCATTAATCAGTTAATAGATAAAATAGATATATACGTAAAAGAGTTTACTTACGATCGATTATGTCACGCGAGAGACAGAGAAAGAGAGAGAGAGAGAGAGAGAGAGAAAGAGAGAGAACCCTTCTTCGAAACGCGACAACGTATCGATATCGTTGCTTCGAGAACCGCATTGTCGACTGCAACTTCTTTGACGGCATTTTCAAGGCTTCGCGACACTGCGGGCTTCTCGGCGAATGCGCTACTTACTTTCCTATCCGCTTACCTCAAAAATACTTCTAGCAATACACATTTATTGTAATCTGAGAACAACATTTTCCCTCTTTCGTGATGAGATGTAAAAATTCCGACAAAAAATTCTCTTCAACTCTTCTTGTATTCCTTTAATTTGATACAGTTAGCGCACACAAGACCAACCGTTCCCCCGCGAGAAAAATTGCTTTGATCATTCAACAATTGGAAATACTCGAGGATCTCACTTATGTTGGCAACGCGGATCATTCTTTTCCCGAACAGTTTTCTCCGAGTCCGACGCGCATCCCTCTCGTTCGACAAACCATTTCTCTCGATAATCGGTCCCTCCGTCTAAGGACGCGCTTCGATTCCGCCGACGTGGCAGCTCGCGCAGTTCAAGTCGGCGTAATCGTCCGTTCTGAGATTTATCGCGTACCCGGAGTGCCGTGAGCGCGGAATGTCTTTGATGCCCCGGACTGTATCAAAGTGGCAGCTAAGGCAGTTCGAGGTCTCTTAATGGGCTATGAGTTATGGATCTTTCGCGGCGTGGTGGATATTACTCTGTTCTCTTTCCAGCTCCGTTCCCATTCGCATCCGCGCCGTTTCCATTCGCGCGTCTCGAGCTTTCTTTTGCTCCTCACGTTTCGTCTCTCGTTTCTTTCTCTCTCTCTTCGTCCTATCTTTCTTCCTGTCTTCTCACGCCTGTTTCTCACCGTATTTCGTACGTTGCCAAACCACGTCGGCAGGCGCCCACAGAGAGAGAGAGAGAGAGAGCGCGCGTACGGTCTCAAACTCCGGCCGGTCGCTTTTACTGCCTTTCCACGTCAAAGCAACACTTAAAGTTCTGACACTTCAGAGAGGACGGTAGCTCACCTCTTTATTGCGCGAGAACATTTTTGCCCGACGCGCACGTATACGCGCGAGTTTCGCGTCCGCGCGCGTTGGATTCATTTGACTCTCCCGCTTACTTCGGTCTCCGCGTCTCTTTTTCTTCCCTTTCTTGAGATTTTTCTACGGCACAAAAAAAAACACACGAACATCCGTTTCCGTCTTGTTTCGCGTGGGATACCCTCGCTCGCAGACGAGGAGGATTCCGTCTGGCATTCCCGGGCAAAATGTGCCCTCATAAACTTTTCATGGTTAATAAACGCGCTCGCGATAAAAATATTCACGTCACGCGCGTACCGCACCCCAATTGTGTATACGTATATATATGTCTCATTAATAAATACTTATGAAATAACACGGTTTCGCGTATTACGGTATCAAGAAAATAGCATCGCGGAGTAATTTACGCCGCGACAGGAAGAATTCAGAAACACAGATTCTCTTCCTCACGCGCTCTTGTCGCGACTTAGTTTACGATCCGTGGAATTGTCCGCATCGTTTCATTTCGCATCGCAGAAACGACACGGAGCTCTTTAATGCCATAAACGAGCCCGCGAAAGGTACACGCGAATACAATTATTAGCCGGCCTCGAAGTGGCTTCGTCGCCGTTCTCGCCAGCTCATCTTTAATTCATGTCATTCGAGAGAGGGAGGAGGAGCGCGCGGTGGACTCGCGGCGAGATCGATAAATTATAATTTCACTCCGTATCGCGTTGCCGCGAACTGACGGTTATCCGTCAGACACGCGGCCGATCACGTATTTATACGATTTCCTCTCCGAGCGTCGATGCCGTGTTTCCGCTCGTTTCTCCCCTTGCCATGTTCATCCGCGGTCGCGCGATAACAGTTTTCTTATCAGCGGATGTGGGCACGAATTCTTCACGTGTAACCGTGAACGAATGTCCGACGAATGTTCATAAACATCGACGCTTTAATGTTGTGTTAAAACCTCGTACTATATATGTACATTCTTCGTTCGCGCGTCTGATATTCAAAAATGTGTGTTTACGTAATTGCGAAATGTTCGCGCATCTTTATGTCCCCTCGTATACGAAACTATACATAAGCGAAGAAACGAATATCGCAAATCGAAATGCATGCCGACATCTTAAAATTTACATACAAATAAAAATGTATGAATCTATAAAAGCATTATACGAGACGGGAGAAAGAAAGAGAGAAAGAGAGAAAGAGAGAGAGAGAGTTTAGATCGCGCGCGTCGGCGACTATTTTCTTCTCTTCACGGTATATTCCCCGGAGAACGTCTCCCCTTCGCCCCCGTCGGCGATTCGTAGAGCGCGATAAGAAAGCGAGAAAGGCGCAAAATAAAGGTCCCGTAATCCCAGAGCAAATATTTATTCTTTCAGACTGAAGCAGGAGAGCCACGGCGGTGCCTGGTGTCCGAAGCAGCAGATCACGACGGATCCTCGCGAGTGGCTGGAAATCAATCTACACACGGTGCACATGATCACGGCGACCAGCACTCAGGGCCGCTTCGGCAACGGCCAGGGTGTCGAATTCACGGAAGCTTACATGCTGGAATACTGGAGACCAAAGCTGGTCAAGTGGGTTCGTTACAGGAACGTTCGCGGAGAAGAGGTGAATTTTTTTTTATTATATCTCAACTCGGTCTTGATGACGCGTAAATGATTGGCGACCGGCGCTCGATCATCGCGCGCTTGTAAAGCGCGATTCTAATGCGCAATTGCTGAAAATAATAGAATCATATAGAGAACATAGTCGGGGTCAGGACGTACATCGCGAAAAAGACGCGATGTATTTATAGAAATAAAGCACTCGTCAAAGCGTACAAGAGATTTGTCAAGCGTGCGCTGACAACACTCGCGAGATTTATTATACATAATCCGCGCTCTCTAGTCCACACGACAGCTAAGCGCGATTTGTCACGATCGATTTGGAGTCGCGCAAATCGGCAACGCTGTAGAAAGACATTTTCGCCGAGCGATTTGATTCGATACACCGGTTACGGCAATTCACGCCGCGAGGCGTAGAGATTACGTACCGCGCACATATACGCGAAGTCGCGCGGTTAAATTTAGTCGCGGGCAATACGTGTAACCGTGCGCGCGCGCGCGCACGGATTATTGTGAATGATTTGTAGTATGGTGTCCGCGCAGCGACCACGAGCAGTAAGTAAAGCGTGACGTTAACAAGACGTAAATCTTCAATGTAATACGCCGAGCTGAAAAAACCAATGTATGTACGTGATGTAATTCACGCGAATACATCGGTAACCCATCGTGAACCCGGAGTCTTTAATTAGCGTCGTCTCGCAATAATCACGGCGTTGCCGCGGCGAAAATAAACTCTCAACCGGGACCGACGAATTTCGACGTAGTATATTCGCGACCGAAGCGGTAAAAGGAATTGGATGAGACATTGCTTGACGCGCGAATACGAAATAATCCGTAAATCTTCGCTAATAATTTACTGAACTTAACCGACGTAACGTCTTTGAAATTAAGGAAGCGTTTGCACGCGCCTCGTAAAATCGTTCGTGTCAACGCGCGCGTTGCGTCGTCTAAACGTATGTTAGAGGGAGACTTAACTTAACACATACGTTTAGCTCGGCGCTTTGGAACTCGTGGAATTAGAATTCGGTAGAATCCGTATCCGTGAGTGAAATGTCATCGATTTCCGAAACCGACGAAAAGAAACGAAAGACGAGTCCGCCGCTCGCGTGGAACTTAACTTTCCTTGAAGTTAGCAGGCCGTATAGGGTGGTGCCCACGAGCTTATTTGTATAGGAGGGCGGATCAATAAAATGAGGGAAGGGAAGGTCGTAGCGTGCACACGCGGGTCAGACGATTTCCAGCTCACCTACATAGACGTGTATACCTGCTGGAATACGCGAATTCTTCCGTGGCGCACGTCTACTGACGCGAAGGTCGAATCCCGAAGAAGGAGAGCGCGGTCTCGAACCGCATTTGCATGCGGCTGCGGAGCGATTTGCCCCTTTACATTTTCCGTGACGCGGAAGCTACGTACACCTCTAACATTTCCATCTCTATGTACTCGCCGGAACAAACGAGAGAGAATGTAGCTTCGAGCCACCGTCTGATACCATCATATATTACGACGATTGTACGTCATACCGTAAATTCTTCCGGTTTTTCTTTTTGTTTTTTAATTTGATGATTTTATTTTGATGACAATTATATAAGAACTAACAACGTAATTAAAATCAATATATAAATATTATTCCCCTCGCATTTTTTAATTTAAATATTCTCCATCCAGTTATTCGTGCAACATTATTCAGCTTGGGGAATAAATACCCGGTAAGAAAATCTGAAGAACTTGACAAATATCCCTCACCTCGCGAGACTCACATATCTCGCATAATTCGCTCGTAGCGCAGCACACAGGTAACCTGTTGAAACGGAACAGGCCACCCAGAAAACACCGGGGCGGGTAGGGGATATAAACCTGCAGAAATTTGTGTCTCTTCCTCCCGCTGCGCGCCGTCCCTCGCTTAATTACACAACGACACTCGGCTTATCCGACGCACAATCTTTCGTAACAACCCGATCCGACGAAGCCGGCGGTGGAAACCGCACGCGGCTGTCATCGCTTATATTTTACGGCCGATAATCTCTAAAAAGACGACGATTTACTTACCGATTTACTTAAATTTTATTTGACGTCATAAAAATCGAAGATTCTCTTAATATACCGGATAAATATGATAAGATGATTCTCGCGTTGTTATTTTTTTTGTATTCTTCGACGTTTATAATGCGTTGTAACCATTAACAGACATCAATACTGACATCAATGCTGACGCAAATCATCGCGATATGTGTCCATAAATCTGTGCATAATCACGTCGTAAAACCACTCATTGGGCGGTTTTCATTTAAATTAAGTCTAAGTAAGACGTGTCCCGATCCCTCACGATTCACCGCGCGGCTATCAACGCGCCGCCTCTAAAAGCATTCAGCTGCCAAGCGGTAGCGGACTACCGCTTGGTCGATCTCTTGGAGACAACACACACAAAACATTAACATAAAATGGGCGTTGATTCCCACCACGCCCTCGCATCGTTTTGATGTCGCTCGTTGGAATTCGCCTACGAGAAGAAATGACAAGAAACCTCTTGGAATAATTTGAGAGACGTTCGTTCGGCCTCGCGCGTTCGATGTAGTGGTAGCACCGTTTGAGGAAAGTCTTTCGACGACAAAGCTGACCGCTCGGGCCCGGTTGCGTCGCGCGTGGGCGCGAGCGAAGATAAATATCAAGATTACTTATTTTTCCTGGTCGCGCGTCTCAACGGCTCGTAAATGCCGTCGTAATTTGCGGTGTCTCGCTCGCGGTGTCACGGGTCTCTTTCGGAAATTAAGATTCGCCGCTCTCCGGGAATTCAGACGACCGTCTGGAATATGAGTCATCCTCGTGAAACAGCTCGACATTATATTTTCGATATCTTTTAATATCCAGCCGACGTATATCGTCGACAGAGAAATATATCACGAGTATATAAAATAAAAATCACCGCAGAATAACATAAGTCATAAAAAAATTATGAAGAATTTTTATTATTCTAGAACTAGATTTAAAAAAAAGTTATAAAATTAGTTATAAAATTTCTGTTATTCTAGAGAGATTTTAGCTTCCCGATCTGAATTGATAACATCGTAAATATATTATTTTTCGTATGTATAGTAAATTTCGCTCTGTTTCTCTCTCAGGACAAAATTACTCAGATATGAGCCTGAACTATCTCTCGCTTTCAGACGTGTAAAATTAGCTCGTGCCTTAAGTACAATAATCGAGGAGGGAGAACAGGATGCTATTACGTACACTCTCTGCAAAGCCGTACATGTAACTGTCAACCTCCGGAAACGCCCACGATGCGGTTCCATCGCCTGGTAGAAAATTTCTCACGTATTGGTTCATTGTATTTGCCCGCCCGACGCCTCGGTACCGTCCATTTCAACGTGCTAAACATCAGGTACAGTGTCGCGGCGCAAATAAAACGGTGTCAGCTACCGGCCCCAATTACCGAGCTACCCGGCGCGGAACGTGCCGGTTCGCGCGGTCACGAGAATCATCTTTAAACGTGTTTCCCATCGCGATTGCGAGTTCATTCCTAGCAAATAGAAAAATCACCGCGCGAAAACAAACATCCGCGAAGAAAAAACAAAATCTGAATAATTTATTGTTGTTTACAAAAAAACAATGTGTCACTAATTTTTCTGTCTAATAAAAATAATGCGAAACATTTAAAAGCACTTCGGCCGTAAAACGCCCTGGACAAAAAATTCACTTATCAAACACTATAACACGCGCGTTTATTTCCACCGAGTGTATAATTGAATTCCACGCAAAGTTGCTTCAAACATGTTTCGACATCTATGGATGGATATTTGTGCTTATTTCCCGCTCCGCAAAACAAACTGTTGTAATTAAATTTGATCGTAATGCACATATTGTGCGCGGAATCGATTAAGCGTATTAAATTAATGAAATTCGCCGGGTATAACAGAGAAACGCGGTGCGATGAACACAACAGTTTAACACGCGACGAGTAACACAAGCGTGTAACAAGGAAGAAGAAAACAGACGCGATATAAAAGGGGTCGAAAATAGAAAATAAAAGAACGTTTGCACCTGTCGGGATCGCAACGGCGATGGTTACACGGTCACGTAACCGACCATACGTGAGAATCTCGCGCGGACGAGTCGAGAGGCGCCGACGAGCTCATAAGTGGAAAATAAGAGGTCCTTTGTTCCGCGTAGGGCCTCTCTTCCCTCGACACAACGCCGTCCGAGAAATTCCCGATCCTCCCCGGCGATATGTACGTTTCGACCGTCGCTCGCGGTCGACCGATCGAATAGAACGAGCCTTGTTCTATGTGTGTGAAAGGGAGAGAAAGAGAGAGAGATAGAGAGGAGAGAGCTAAGCCTGAAATCACGCCGCGCGGAGAAATACTACAGTACGGCGTGGCGCAATTTATATTACGAGCCAACGAAAAATTTCGCTATCTCTCCGCCTGAATGTCCGTAAATGAGGCAAGGGTCAAGATGTTACATGGACGCTGATTCATCTCGGGCGTCAGGCCGACGTCACAGAACGGAATCTTGCGTCTATCTGTTTTCACTGATAAGTGAACATGACGCACAGCGTGAATAGACAGAGTATCATTCAAGACTATCGTATTATATTTCCCTTCGTCAATCACACAATCCGCTATGCGTATCTTCGCACGTCGTGTAATGACATTCGCGCGTCTAGTTACGCGTTTATGAATCGATATGTTCATTATCACATTAGTTTGATATAGGATGTTGTAACTATTTAAGGCTGTTTAATGTTTAAAAAAACAATTTATTTAAAAAATGTTCATTTTGAATAAAAATATTATTTGTATGTATGGATGTGTGCGAACGTGGCGGATAATGTTTAAAACCAATTTCCACAAAATTCTGTTTGCCCAGGTTATCCAAGGTAACAGCAACACCTATTTGGAGTCGAAGCACGAACTGGAACCACCGATATGGGCGACCAAAATTCGTTTCCTACCCTATAGCTACCACCGTCGCACCGTTTGCATGCGCGTCGAACTCTACGGCTGTCCTTGGAATGACGGCATTGTCTCCTACTCGATGCCCCAAGGTGACAAGCGTAGCAATTGGGAGTTCTTCGACGCGACTTATGATGGTTATTGGGACGGACAACTCCTCCGTGGTTTGGGACAACTGACGGACGGCAAAACCGGACCGGACTACTTTAAGATGAACTACTACGACACCTACGACAGAAGTCAGGGATGGGTTGGCTGGAAGAACGACACGAGGTCCGGACATCCGCTCGAGATAAAATTCGAATTCGATCACGTCCGAGAGTTCTCGGCTGTTCACATCTTCTGTAACAATCAATTCACCAAGGATGTGCAGGTAAGATCTCGCCCAAAATTTATATCGCATTTTATCTCGTGTAGAAAAAAAATTTACTTTATAAAATTTACATACCCCTTTTTTTTAAGTATATTGACGGGTTTTAAAATAAGCGAGAAATAAGATCGGTTTGTGATTAAATGATATCGAACTTCTTCGCTTCCGTTAACAAATGTTCTTTCGTTTATCACGTCTCGCTGTGAATCCCCGACTGGCGGGATAATCGACGAAACCGCGTATTTGTGCGATAATAAGCGAGAAAAACTATAAACGGATATTCGTACGGTATAAGGAGGAAATTGGAATGCCTCGCGGCAAGTGACTTGCCGGTGAGAATGAAACGGCTGCTGAATAAAGTAAGCGGCAGGAGGAGGGAAAAGAGAGAAGAGAACGGAGAAAAAGGTGCAAAAAAGAAAGACGGACAGTCGCGGCAAAATGTGCGCGAAGATCCTTCGCCAGCCTTTAATCCACACTCAGAGAAAATAATAATAATAAAAAAAAAAAAAAAAAAAAAAAAAGACGAAGCCGTGGGGTTGAGACGGTGTACGGCATGAAATCCAGTTTTCACGTTGGAGTCAAGGTCGGACGTAGGATGGGTAACGAGGCGCAACAACGGTTAGCCCTTGGGTTTGGTTTGAAACGGACGGAAGGAGAGAAAAAGGAAACGACCCGCGGGTTGCTGGATTAGCGTTTCACTTCAAGCGGCGTCGGCGATGGCGCTGCGGCCGTGACTTTGCCCGGAGACGTCAGTTTTTCCACTGAAAATTTTTCGCCCCCATGGTCTTTTTACGCCTGAGTGTTTACATAATGGCTCGCTGAACACTCGACTACTAGCGCAGCGAGAACGATGTATTTTGTAATAATATAATTCGACACTCTTAGAGACGCCTCGAGATGGCAAACGTAACGTAATTTTTCGCGAAAGGTTACTGGGATCTAATAAAACGGCTAAATGAGCCGGTGGAAAATAATTCGCGAATCTCAGACAATTATGCTGTCAGCTTTGATCAGTAAATTACACTCGGTCACGTCGACCGAAGATAAATTACTGAAGTTTATTACACGTTAGAGAGGAATATAAAAACACACGGAGAGTGGGATAAAACCTATCTATTAGTTGGAAAGAATCAATATCTAACTACGTCATTTAGATGTCGTCGAAAAGATAAAAACTTCGCTGCTGTGAGATTTATTCGGGCCAAGACCGTTACTTGGAGTACCGATCGTAAATCCTAAAAACAGTTTGTCAAAATACTTATATCTCTTCGCTCGGACTGACTTTCACGGCTGAAAATAATTTCTATCAAGAGACAGGCGCTTTTTTGGCAATTTGGCCAAAAAAAAAGAAAATCATTACGATATATTGCAAATTTCAGCAATTTAATTAAATTAAATTCTTCATCCTCTTGAATATGCATTTGTTTGAACAAAAGTATAATTAATGCGTTTAGTGTGAAAAGAGTTTGTACCTTCTTACCGCAATAGAAAGTTAATACGCGTGATCGTTTGCCGCGAAAATTTTGCGCTCCCCATCATCATCGTGCTACATAGGGAGAGAGAATCCTTATATAATGGGGCCACGAAGCACTCTCCTACCGGTATCAAGATTTATTTGAATGGAGCGCCTCATTACCCGGCTCGAGTCCGATTGTACGCTCGCGATCGAGCGAGCCGGAGAACCATAGGGCAGACCCGACAACGAGAGGCAGCCAAGGCTGAGGATGCGGCGACTTAGCGGGGAGAGAGGCTCTCGCGGAAGAGGGAGGACGAAAGGAGGTGAGGACCCGAGAGAGGGTTCGACGAAGACGGGACATCGGGGAACAGAACGGGATGCGCGACGCTCTCCTAGTTCCCTCTCCTTCTCATCTCCTGTGCGTACAATAGCAGCAAGCAACGACCGAGAGAGCACAGATACGCCACGTATTCAAATACAATACCGACAAGTCTGGCAAGTCGGCAGTTCGGGCGAATAGGGCTGCGGAGTGGCAGAAGCTACCCCCTAAACGACCTCTCCTATTAACAAGCGCGCGCTCGTGCGGATAGGACACGTCTCCCGAAAGACAGCGCTTCAAAGCATCATCAGCTATACCCGCACTCTGCCTCTTTCCCTCCTCCCTCCTCCTTCCCCCCCCCGGTCTTTCTCTCCGCGGCTTCTCGCGGCTGCCACTTCCACCACGTCGACTTCCCCGTTCTACCGGCGGATCCGCGGGCGGTAGGCTTCAGTACGTCGAAAATCCATACGCCTTCTCTCCGTCTTTGGGTCTAAGGGAGTTAGATAATCTCGGCTTTGTAATCTTCGTCCCTAACTCCTACCGCTGTCTTAGCTGCGTTCTCCGTTTCCCTCTCACTTTCTCGTACTGTCTCTCTTTCTTCTCTCTTTCTCTCTCTCTCTCTCCATCTTTCTCTGTTCTTGTCTTTCGCCCGTTTCACACGGACTTGGATTCTCTTCGCTGAATTGTCTTGCGCCTTCGAGGGATGAAATTAGCATTCCACGCGTCCTCGCTTTCTCGGAACGCGCCGCCCGTGAGATACGCCGTATTATCGAAACTGTCGATGTCATCCCGGCGCGCCGTTAACTAGTTATCTGTTACCGATGGTAATAACGGTGATAATACTGATTACGCAGGCGTAATCGAGTGCCTGTGGTATGCTTCCGATCAAATTAATTCCGCATGGTAGTTCTGAACACGTAGGCGCTTTATCCGATGAATCGAATTGTCTGCAGCAATCAAGCTTGACAGCGCAGAATAGCGCTTCAACCAACTATTCGCTTCTTGAGAGAAACAGGATCTACGTATTACGTTCTTCTTTTATTTATTTATTTATTTATTTTTTTTTTTGTTTTGTTTTTTATGTTTTAGGTATTTTCTGAGGTCAGCATCACGTTCAGCATCGGTGGCAAATACTTCACCGGCGATCCGATAGTGTACAACTATGTGGAGGACAGGATCTTCGAGCACTCGAGAAACATCTCGATCAAGCTGCACCACCGGATCGGCAAGTACGTCAAGCTGAAATTCAGCTTCGCCTCGCGGTGGATTATGATCAGCGAAGTCACCTTTGACTCCGGTGAGTGCAGTATAACGCACGGCTTCAGCGATTTTCCTCGCTTCCACGATTTGCCTTCGCAGTCCGTATAGAAAGTTCCGAGTCGTGACGACACGCCTATCAAATCGCACGTAACCGGAGACGATTTCTCCGGGAAGATCAAAGCGTTTCAGCGTAAACATCTTTTTTTTTGAGCCGATACATAGCGCTCGCGATGTCGATTGATAAAGTATAAGAAGAAATTTCAAGAGTTTATTCGAACACGAAGGAATAAAAAAAGTAATCAATTCTGAAGTAAAAAATTCGACTTTATATATATTTAAAAAAGATAGCGAGATCTTAACGGATATAAATTATGTTTCTAACAAAACGACACACACCGCAAGTTCGAATAAAAAAAAAAAACATTAATAGTGTATCCGTATTTTTCTACTTTGCATAAAAATGCAAATTAGCATGATTTATCGTGTTTTCTTCGTAACGTGTAACGTACTGTATCGGGGGTGCTGCTTTGCATTTGCGATTAATGAACGTCGTCAGCAGAATTTACCGTATTCAAAAGCACGTGTTTCTCTATCGTGTTGCAGACATCGCTCACGGTAACTTCAGCACGGAAGCACCGCCCACGACCGAGGCTCCGCGAATGCGGGATAGAACTTTAACTCGCGACAATCCGCTGCAAACCGAAGTTCCGGTGGCTAAGCAGGACGATCCGACTTACACGGCTGTGATCATTGGCGCCCTGATCGTCGTAATCCTGCTGCTGGCGGTCGCCATGTTCCTAATAGTCACGCGTCACCGGCAACGTAAGAACTTTGCCAGTCCTCTGGGCACCAAGAGCACGATACCGTCGGGCAATCATCAGCATCTGTCGCCGGAGTCCGCATACGGCACCACGGAGAAGGACCCGTCGTTGATGACCTACAGGGTCGAGGATCTCGACGACCGATACGCCGGCACGAAGCTCACAACCCTGCCGCGAGATCTCAATGATCGTCTTTTGGGCGATGTCAGACTCGACGAGTATCAGGAACCCTTTCACGAGAACAAGTATCGGGATTCCCCTCATACGGCGTACTACGGATATAGCACGGTTGTTCTAGACAACAAGGACCTACATGACAACGTCGAACAGTCTGGTGAGTCAGGTCTCCTTGAACTCTTCTTCAGAGTGTGCTTCCCGTAATATTCCCGAGTAACAAACAGGAAGCAGTCAAACACTCGTCAACTTTAGTTCGATAACTATTTGCATCGATTGCGTCATTCCGAACGCAGCTCTCTCTCTCGCATAAATTGCAATTTTCAACTCTTCAGCAATTCCATATATCTCGCGCAGTAATAATTGTATCGCATATATCGAGACGAAACGCTCATTACGAGGCGGTGAAACCACAATTACTTTCTGTTGTACAGATGCCACTTATGATTACGCAGTACCAATGCCCGTGCCTAGCGTAAGCAGCGATCAAGACAGCGTGTTCTCGAAATCCTCCTCCAGGGGTAGCGCAAAGGTAAAGATATACATTACAAACGATACTTGTCACGATATTTATTAAACTCTAGCGAGAAAAAAAATCATTTTTAAGTCGTATAATTTTGTTTTATTATTTGTTTAATATTTGACATAACTTACACAACTGAAATTCTCGAAAAATATTAATCCTATAAATACTGTTTTTAGATACTTGTGTAAACTGTGACATTTATGTCTGACGCGATGTTTTTATTAATTAAAACGTTGCTAAAAAGAAAATAACATTTTGATATATTATTTTAGTTTTTAAAAAACTTTCTCCATTAAATAGTTCATGAAATATCTTATTTTCAACAATCGCTCGGTTATTAATGTCAGGATTTCACAGGATTAGGATTAAATAACAATTTTCTTGTAATTATTAAACAGCAAAAAAAAAACTACTATGATATTCAAAACGAGTGTCAAATAAACGTAGAAGTCAATGTCTCATACTTTTCCGATGCGTTAGGCTTGCTTGCAGAGCTTTTTTCCGCCGCCTCCGCCCCCCATGAGTGCACCACCCCCTCGAGGCACCAGCAACTTGACGTATTCGAATCCACCGAGTCCGGAACCAGTTTGCGAGCGCGAGCGCAGAGGCAGTAAGCGCCGCGAGCACTCCTTGCACAGATACGCGTAAGGACTTTTTGCAGCGTCTGTGCGGATATTCACGAAAAAAAAAAAAAAAACGAATGGATCGAAGGTATGATGGATTCTTCGTTATTGCGAGCAACGAGACTGCGTGATATCGAGCAAGGTTCTCCGGCACTGGTTTATCTTCCGACGGAAGAATTCTGTTCCGTTCTTGCTCGGCCATCCTACTCTTGCAATATTACAATATATACATATATATATATATATATATATTTATATATATAGATTTGTTGCACTCCGTATCTTATTTTGCGTCAATAAAAGACTTGTTTGTAATTTATTTTCACAATTTTTTTTATATCGAACTTTTGCAATCGCGTTAACGAGAATTATTCTCGCGAGCGAGAATTACTCTTCTACGTTTGAGAAGCAATTTTCTGTTTTGTAAAAAAAAGTTTATTTTTTTTTTTACGAAATAAAACATTTGGTTCCGCACATTTTACTTCGTCTGCGCGCGTCTCAAGTTTCTCCAACGTATTGGCGAAAGAGAGCGGCAAGCATGGAGCAGAGCAAAATCAAGAACCGTGCCGTGAGAACACCGTGAGAACGCGCGCGTTGTTAATCGAGGTAAAGATCCGGTGGCAAAAGTAAAGCACGCGTAAAGCGACCGCGCGGCGAAAGGGATCCCGCTTGTTACAACGACGATATTTTTTTTTCTTCGAATTTAGCGCAAGGGAATCGCGCGCGAGAGAAGAATCGACGCGATCCGCGGCGCGGTCGCGCGTCCATCGCGAATAAGAAACACAAACTCTCTTCTCGACGAGCACTGCCATCGATGAATTTTTAAACATATATATGTATAAATGCGTGACCACACAAACACGCGTTTTTTTTTTTAGGGAGATCCGATCTACTTCCTCTACTAAGAGATGCATGTAAAAAACGCGTACCTATATGTGTAATCGTTATGTATTAAATTGGCATATCAGTTTAAAATATTAATAGAGAGTGACCCTAGCGCGCAAGACGACGACTCTTCCCGAGATTCGTCCGTGAAAATCGCGAACAAAATATCAAGGATCGCGGTGCCGCGCGCTTGCTATTTTCAATTTTCCGCAGTTTTCGAATCACTCGCGCTTTAGAATCCCGGCATCTTTCGCGTTCCGGTGCACACTGCCAAGTTTTCTTCATACCTGAAAAGTGGAATTCCGCGAACGGGATATATAAATTGTGACGTTGCGAAATGCCACTTCCGCCTGGCGGTCTCTCGGAATTACAATAACGACATGTAAGCCGAGAAATATGTGAGGAACACAACGCGCCCGCATTTCGGACGAATTTCCAGGAAGAGTCCGCGTTAATGATTTGGTCTGTTCGGCGCGCATGTGCAACAAGATCGAGCTCGCTATCGATCCAAGAGAAACGTCTGGCGACCACTGGGGAAGAAAAAAATGCGATTGGGCGGATGAGAGATATTTATCCGATGGCGCGATCGTTACGTCGAATCGGAAAGATAATTAATTACGGGCTTGATGGAGTAAGCGGGCGTTTCAATTATTCGCGCGCTCGAACGAAACGTCAAGCGTCGCGACGCTTGACATCCACGGAAGGAGTGAAGGGAAAGAGAAGAAAGGAGGAGTGGGAAAGAGAGGCGGAGAGAGAAAAGCCGCGACAAGATCGACGTGACGATATTTAAAAGAGCGAACGGTAGCGAGCTTCGATCTCACCTCACACAAGACTGACGTCACATAAATAATTCAGTATCCTGACTGCGCGCGACGCGCGCACAAGTTGTATTATTTATTGTCGTATACACACGGCGCTCCGTGACGAATCCTTAATTTATATATACATATATATATATATATATATATACATATACAATATATATATATGTATATATGTACATATATAAGATGCGGAAGAAGTGAAAAAATATATATAGATATATATATATATACAAAGATGGTAATATATAAATACATATATTATCGTACGACAACAAGTTTTAAGCGTATAATAGATTGTAATAAGCCCAACTTTATTTCTCTATCTCTACCGACATCGCCTTTATGCAACGAGGAGGAGAATCGAGAATTATACCAGCGTAAGGAACCGACAATACAGGGACGAGACAACAATAACTACATATGTACGTAAAAATTGAACAAAAAGAAAAAAAAACAAAACCTAGAGAGAGATTCGAGATATCGCGAGTGCGCAAAACACGTGAGAGACCCTCGACCACATTGTGATATAATAAAAAAAAAAAAAAAAAAAAAAAACACAAACAAAAGCCCGACTCTCGCGAGTAACACATATTATAGACACGTTATGTGTGCTTAAAGCGTGCCTTGCGCGGCGGAGCTCTCCCCTGAATATTTCGCGTCCGGTAAAGTGCGGCAGTTGTAAAGCGCACAGCGACTCCCTCCGACTCTAGATCGACGAACGATGACTGTGCACCTGTGTGTATGTCGCGGTGCAAAATTTATTACCGGTTTAAATATCTGACATGGAATGTGGCACGAAATTTAAAGCTCGTTCGGAGCTTTTACCGCACGGACCCGTTTTAAATAGCGCGTATTTCCCCGTACGATTATTCGGTCGTCCATTGACCGCTGCACTTCCCTTGATTACCGGCTCGTAATCTATTAAGCTCAATTTTTCTCTCATTTCACGTCGGACCCAGTCTCTCTGTCTCTATCTCATTCTCTCTCTTTCCCGGCGTGATCGTCTCGCCGGGGAACGGGTCTCGCTAAAAATCGCGCTCGGATACGGGACGAACGCGATGCTGATTGACATTCCGCTATTTTTATCCGAAATAACTGAAATACGAGCGATGTGTTCACGCGCGCGCGCGCGCGCGCACGCGTGCGCGCGTATCGGTTTTTCGATTAAGCGCGAGACAGTCTGGCTCGTCGAGGAGAAATTTAATCGGGCGTTCCCCCCTCTCCCCCCCGCGCAGGTCGCGCCCTTTCGCGGCAAGAGCGGTGCATGGTAGCGTCTACAACGATTGGTACATTGCTATGTATATTTAGTGTTTAATCGATATCGTCGCCACGTAGGGTGTTAATTTAAAGAGGAAACTAAGAGTGACAGCTTCGAACGCTTTTCGAATGTAAATAACCTAACCGTTAGGGACCTCGTATCACGTAACACATATACAGACACACAGACACGCACACACACACACACACAAACAATTTTTCTTCAAGCGCCTTAAGTTGGGGGGCACCGAGCAAATAATTTCGTCGCAATAATACTATCGTCGTCTTTTTGAAGACGCGAGATATCACGTACAAGCGGTTATCGTAAAAACGACAGCGGCGGACTGACAACAAAATGGCCTGGGTCGTCTTCGAGATCTTGCGAAAGCTCGACCATTTCTCGACTTCGTCGCTTTTAAAGCTCGAAATCGACGTGCGCGCGCGCGCGCGCGCACATACACACACATTTGGTCGGTTTCGCCGAATTTTCTCTTCGTCGATAGCTTCCCCCCGATAATTTTCTCGCTCAGCGGCATCGTGATCGATTCGCCGAGCTATCGTTGCCACGACACGGGAAATTCGATATCTTGAACTTCCCGCACTTCCAGCCGCGCTGACAGTCCGCTCCTGGCAATAATCGTCAATTTGTCTCGAGCGAGCGTGCGCACGTAATACGTGCGCGTGACGCGCACGTCAGAGGCGAGTTAAATCAAGTAATCTTTAAGGACGAGGGAAGAGAACAGCGAGATAGCGGAAAGTTAGTTTGTATAAAAAAAAAAAAAGAAGTTGCGCGCGAGAGAGTTAAGAAAGATCTCTCTCCCCGACGAGAAGGGATAAAAAAGATGAAGGAAAGACGCTTTCATACCTGCTCATGGCGCGCTTCGCGCGTAAGGATGTCTTTTTTATCGCGAAACTACATGCGGCGTAATAATCGACGACGCGCGTAATATCATCCTGTGTGTTACGGCGCGATCGTGTCCGGAATCATCCGTGAACTTATCTTGTTTTTAATTTGCCGAACACACATTTTGTACATTTTGTGTATACGCGACACACTGTTTTCTGTATTTATTTCTTCGATATTTTTTATTACGCGTTTTGCCGTTTGAAAAACGGTTTGTCAAAAAAAGAACATTCTCTTAAATAAATTTGTCCAAGACAAAATTAAATTTCTCCACTCTCTAGTCTCTATTGTACTTTAATCCGGAGCAAAAAGTGAACAGTGAGATTGCTGCGAAGAGACAATGCGTCCAGATTGCCCGAGCTTTCAAGCGCCGCGCGCGCCAGCGCGCACAAAGACCCTTTGGAGACGTAAATAATGGCATCTAGTACCAACTGGCCGATCCGTTAGAACTAGTTCGAGCAGAACCGGATGCCATTATCTACCTCCTGGGAGTCTGATTGGACATGGTCGTAATTTTGAATTATTCTCGTCAGTGGCGAGAAATGCGTTAATAATCTTGGGGGGACGGGTAAAGGGACTAGCGCTCTCTCTTTGCGAATCGCTTTGCTCGCGCGCACGCGCGCGTTGTTGTAACACGCGGCTAATTCTTATCGACGCTCGCGGTATATCGGAACGGAGATAGGCGCTTGTCTTGGCACCGTGCGCGAGTTCCTTGCCCCCGGTACTCGCCAGTCGTAAGTTTTCTTCCGGCCGCCATGTCGAGGGCGATACGCGGGCCACAGTCTACCGATATAACCGAGATACGACACGATCGGTTCTGCATCGGTACGTACAACGGTGCGGGAACACGGCCCGGCCGGTGCGACCGAGGAGAAGTCTCGGGCATAAATCACACATGCAACCCTTTTTCCATCTGACATGAGAAATGCGGGAAGAAGCTTTCCGGGTTTAGGGATGAGGATTGGCGAACGGAAAAGAAGCCACTGGCCCATCTTTTATACACGACGACACGTATAACTGCGTGCGCATATACGCATATACGCGAGGAAACGTAGAAAAACGTAACGGACTAAACTGAGTTCGTTTGATCGATCGAACTCCGGAGCTGTATTATACACAATTTACACAAATCGCGTTCAGGAACCGCAAAAAAAACTCTATGTGATTCTTGTGAAAAAAAACCGGCAAGTTTTACGAAATAAGTTAATCTACAATTTGATGTAATTTATCTCTCATATATTTCGATGTGTGTATTATTTCTCTCATTACACATATATATATATATATTGTATAAAATATAATATATTATTATATTTATATATTTTACCGTTCCATTGTTTGTTACATTCATTCGCGTACGAAACACTGTAATTTAACTTGTATGAGTTGCGATTGTATTATAAATTCGTTCGTGCATGTTTTCCGCACAAAGAGCTTGTCGGAGAGCGAACACTGTGTGTGTATGTACATAAAATCGATCGCGCAATGCCTCGCGACTGCTGTATCATATACGTAGAAAGTCGAAGAAAACGCGGTGAGCAGGTACGACGACGACGACGACAACGACGACGACGACAACAACAACAACAACAACAACAACAACGATGATGTTTTTATTATAGAATTAGCACGAGCGAGATAAAAAATAGGCAAAACTTTCCGCGACTCCGAACGGTATTAACGCGCCGCATAATCTCTCGATATGTATATAGCGAATGTAATTTATACATACGTATGTGTAAACGTAATTATATAAAATATATGCCCGCCGACGCGCGGAGAAGCGACCACTTGTATATATCTGTATTATATAGCGTAAAACGACGAGCGGGAAGGGCGGTACCATTGTGAGTGTAATTATATTAATTAATAGCATAACGAGTACCGGATGCATATTTGATATTTGTGTGCCTGTATCCTTTTGTATGCTATCGAGATAGATAAAAAAAAAAAAAAAAAACAAATAAAAAAACAATACATATTATATTGTATCAATTGCGACGTAGGCGATTACTACGAGTAATCGAGGTGTAAACGCATACAGATACAAAAAGTACATGAAGACATACACACACACACATATACACGCACACACGTTTGTACACAATGTCATAAACACAGATACGTCGGACACTAACTTTCTGGCTGACCGACGAATGAAATAAAACTTTTAGTGAAGCGAAGACGACTCTTTGTGTGTGGGAATTTTTTCATCACCTTGAAACAATCACCTCTCATTTGTCCCTGTCATTATAACATTGCCCTTCATTTGAAAGCGCGAAGATATAAGTTTTTTGTACAAAATCTATACTTGGTGGTACTTTTTCCAAAGTTTTGCTTTATATTAATCTTTTATTATCAGATCTTAATTAATCTTATGTTATCAGAAATGAAATTAGTTTTTAACTCATTTTTCTAACTATATACATTGTTCGGCTCAATGGTCTCGCAACCTGAGTGCGGGGACTACGAACGTGTGGAGGTCGCCGAGTTTGTATCCGCTCTTTTAACATCTAAGGATTTTTTTCCGGGCCGATCTCTTTCAATCGAAGTGATCAATTTGATGAAAGACGCGAGCTAAATCGGGTCTCCAATGTTGTAATTATGTAAATATTCTTAAATCAGATGGCTTCGAAAGTTTCTTCATTTCTTTATTATACATGAGTAAAATTTATTTATTTATTTATTTTTTTTTTTTTGAAACAATTAATAAAAAATTTTCAGACTGTGATTTATTCATCGAGAACTAATTAATCGGATAATTGCGAAACAATATATTGAATAGTACGTTTAATTGGGAAGCTTTGTGTAAAGGTTCCATAAATATTCTTTAATCTTAATAAATGAATGTACATTGAAGAAGAAAAGGGAAAGAGATGCAAAACATTGGCTGCTTGAAGCCAACTGGGATCTGCTGAATCTGTTTATTATCTGTTTATTCTTTTCTATCTTTCTCTCTCTCTCTCTCTCTCTCTTCTTTATTTTGTAAAAAGATTTATGATCCTAACATTTTGAAAATATAATTT